CCTGTGGTTCTTTGGGTTTCACAAAGCTGTCGGATGGAAAATTTGAAGTTCTCTGGTTTGGTTGCGGCTAACAGATACTCACCTCTCTTCAGTTCAGAAAACTAAGAATAAACAAAACCACAACCACAGACCTGAACAGCATCGACCTCGTTCAGCTTCAGTACAGAGTGTCTGTTTCTGTTAATAGAGTTTTGATTCTCAGTCTGTTAACTATGGAGGAGATTCAGTCTTCTTCTCTCAGAGATATCACACATCAAATAAATCAGCAGGTCCTGGTTTTCATGAGATTCTCAGAAACACAGCGACATAATGAAGAGAAGCAGTCAGGTTTTCATATGAACACTCAAACAGGGTTTTCTGGCTGTAATAATAATATTAATAATAATAAACCTTATTTTATTAATTTGTCGCAGAAGTCAGAAATAATTATTTCCTGCACAAACTGTTGGGGCTTTAATGTGATTCATAAAACTGCAGCTATTTCAGTGTGCAGGCCTTAAAGCTATTAAACCAAAAAACATCAATAAAACAAAAGTAAAAATGTCAAAGCAACAAATAAAAACAGGCCAACAAACTCTTCTGAAAGCTGATTTTCTTTTTACTTTATTGAGAAACCTTTGAAAACCTCCAGCTGAACAAACAACAGAAGAAGAAAGTTTAGCTTTGAAATGATCCTCGGTGGTGACATCAGCAATGACATCATCATACGGTTGGTCCAATCCCTCGCCATCTTCTCTGAGCGGAGACGTTGTCGTGGCAACAGGCGGGTTCCTTCCAGCAGAGATCAGTAATCATTTTATTAATCAACTGATAACCTGAAGAAAAGTTTTTGGCTTTTAAATGATTTTAAATGAAGCACGTTGTGATCGGGACATCGATTGATTCAGTGACTGATTGATCAATGGAGTAAGTTTTTTAACAGTGCGGCTCTGCGGATGCAAAGTCACCACTTAGTTCAGTCAGGATAAACTGTAATAACTTTTCCTCTAGCGCCATCATCAGGTCATTTTATGACCAAAACCTGCAGAACTACTGACATTTCCTGTTGAGGAAGAAACTCTGAGTCGTTGAAATGGAGCCTGATTCCAGATAAAGAATCAGAGATACCGTCCAAATGGTTTATTTCATCTTGTATCAGTGTAGCTAAAGAGTGTGTGGGGCTTGTCTTGGTGTGTGTTTGTCAGAGTGTGTGTGAAAAAACACACACGAGCTAAATTAAGCAAAAACATCATTCATTTCATTTCCAAGCAGAACATTGTTTATTTGTGTTTGAGTTTCCAGCAGAGCCAGAGGTCGTCTGCTCCTCACTGAGGTCGAGCTTCACACCTTCAAACCAGTCAAACCACTGATGTCCAGCTGCTGGTTTCCTGCTCACTAACTGGTCCTCAGACCTCTGCATGTACATGATTTATTTAACAACTTGTTATTAATGTTTAACAATTCATGGCTTTAAAAGAAAAGTCCTAAAATAAAATAACTAAAATAACTCTTAAAAATGTGCAACACACTAACTAACATGTGAGTGCAGCAGCTGAGCCAATCACTGACTGATGATATGAAGATTTAGCCAATCAGGTGATGAGACGCACTTTGTAAAGCACTCTGGGTGAAAGCTCCATATAAACATGCAGCACAGGAGCTTCTCTTTGTTCACAGGAGGGAAAAGTAGAAACATGAAGAAAAATCCTCTGTCTGTCTGCACGCAAACAAGAGGGAAGAAACTTTTAATATAAATCTTTAAATCTTTTAATTTGAAGGAGATCAGAAATGAGGAGTAAATAAGTATTGAGAAGCTAAAAACAACAAAGTAACACAGTAAAGACACGTCGGCAGAACGCATCTGAGGAGAGGCAGAGAGAGACGAGGAAAGAGGAAGGTAGATTTAACAAGCTAATGTTAATTTGGGCATTAACTTCAAACATCTACAACATCAGGGAAAAAAACCTTTTCTGTTTCAGGTTGTTCTACTAATGTTACTCAGTTCCTGTAACTGCACACTGTGTTGGAAAACAGCCTGTGTGACCCGAAGCTGCAGAAATACTTTCACTTTCCATTAGTGACGTGTCAAAGTGTGTTTAGTCTCTGCAGAATAAATGTAGGCTACACACTGTTTAAAAATCATTGGATTGATTGTGATAAATCAGCAGAACCTCTCGTTACACAGAGCCTGGCTTTCTTTGGATAGAAATTATTTATTTTCTCTAATTCGCTTGGTTGCTATTTGTTTTATAATGATGATCATTAGTCAGACTAGCAGCTGTTCTGAGCTGCAGAGGGAGAGGATTCAACAGTCCTGAGATGCACACGTCTCCCTCTATATGTAGTCTTATGCTACTTTAGTCAACAACGGCCTGTTCCCGTGTTGTTGCCACAATAATTCTTTGAGTTGTAAATATTTAGGAATAATCAGATGGTATCGGGTACCTGTGCTGTAGGAGAAGGCAGATAATACGCAGCTCCCTCAGTAACAAAGCAAGTGGTTTGGTTGTCTACAAGAGAACAACAGACTACAGGCAACAGTAGGCGAGGCAGCAAGTGGGATATTTTAAAGTGATCTTATCGACACCTTCATGCAGATTAAAGAAAGTAAAATAATTGTATTAAACAGAAATAGCTAAATCAGAGTTTCGGCCGATCAACAATCAAAGTGCATTCTCTAGAAATAACCGTGTTACACAGTGGCTGTTTCTAACTGATGCAGATGAAACACTTCTAACAAAAAGAGAAGAGCAAACTGAACAATATTAAACACAGAGGAACTTGTACTTTTTAACACTTTATTTGAAGAGGGAATCAGCTGGAGCTCTTTTTAGGCTGCACCCTGTGTAAACATGTTAACATGTACAAACAAGTGAATATATGAACCAAAATGTACAATTCTAGTGGAACAATAACAAACCACATCATATTGATTCTTTAAAACAAAGTTTTGCTCGAGTTTGGTCTGCAGTTTATTCCATAAATATGGAGCGAAGGAAGTAAAAGCAGTCCTGCTCAGCTCTGTGGAGACCACTGGAGTCTCTTTAAGTCTGGAGAAATGAAAGTAGATATTTGTGGAGGTAGTTCTGAAAGAAGAGCTTTATAGATAAAGAAGAGAGCATGTTGCTCACGCCTCACAGAGAGAGAGGCCCATCCCACATTTTGATCACAGTGATAATAACAGTAACTGTTGTCAGTGATAAACCTGAGGGCACAGTGGTGAACTGCAGTCAGGGCTCTACTCTACTCTTGGAAAGGAAACTGGGGTCGGGGTAGTTGAGTCTGGTATTCCTGCAATAGGCCAGTCGTCACTGATGACATCAGCAAAGACCCCACTGGCTGCGCATTTACAGGAGCATTTGTTAAAACAACGTCTAGCAGAGTAGATTTTTCCAGGTTTTTAAGGTGTGGGCGGGTCGGTTTGGTTAGGAGCTGAGTCAGATTAAGCTCAGTATTTTTAACTTTTCTTTATGCTATTTATAATTCTCTTTTTGTTAAGTTCATTTTGCCTAAAAACTTTGCAATGCACACTCTTTTATCACTGTTTATTATTATATTACATTTATTATTATAATTACATATTGTCGAATATAAAACGCCGGCACAGCACTGGAGAACATTAAACCCTGAATAAAAGAGCAGCAGTCAGTTTCTACCAGCCAACAGTAACGAGGAAGAACTGATCTCACATCCTGACTAAGGGGGGGTGAAGACAAAATGAGCTCAGAGCTGCTTCATAGCAAACTCTGCCCTCTAAAAGTCCCTCCATGTTATTATCTCATTACAAACAGGTCCCCAGACATTTAGAGCCTTCAGAGTTCACTTTCAGTTCTCAGCTACAAAGTTACAGTTAAAGAAAGTTCATAATCCTGTTTTATTGACTTTACTGACTTTTGGTTACGTCTGCTCTAAAGGCAGGAAGCTGCTCAAAGGTCAACAAATAACTGATTTAAAGTCTGTTAGAATGTAAATAAAGAGTCAGACTGGACTGTCAGCTTCATGGTTTTAAAATGAGGACATAACGCTCGCTGTCTGTAACCTGATAGCCGGACGGCTGCCTGGAAGCTCAGGAGGGTTTTGGTTGAGCTGCTTTTGATTCCAGCTCCAAGCAACATTAACAGGATCAACAGCTCTGATTGTGTGAAATAAAAACATGCACGTACTCTGTGGATTAAGATTCTACATACCTACATTGAACACATAGATACAGTTTTACCAACATCATGGATCTGTACTCTGACTCAAGTAACATTTTGACTTTAGTTTTATATTGTGTTTAAAGTCAAAGATACATAAATATTTGCCAACAGTGGACGCTGTCAGAAACAGACACATCACAGCCTCATGTCTCTGCAGCAGAGATCAGTTCAGCATCAGAAAGTTGGTTACAGGAGAAATAACCAAGATCATTAGTTTCCCTTTGATACAGACAGAGAAAAGCAGTTGTGGATCAAGTATACAGAAACTAAAGTAAAAGTACCCATAACACACTACTAAATAAATACAAGTCCTGCATTGAAAATGTTACTGAAGTAAAAGTCCAAGAGAAAGAGAACAATCAGGAAAATGTACTTGAAGTATTACAGCAGTAAATGTCCCTATGACTGTTGTACTATTAAATATTCTACCATCAGATTATTTTTCCTCACACATTAATATAAAGCAGCATTTTACTGCTGTAGTTGTTGAGCTGGAGCTCATTTTGAACTATCAGACTGCAGCTGATGATTATTTTCATTCTGATTATTTTCTCCATTAATCGATTGATTGTAAAGATTCTGTAAATTGTGAGAAATGCTGTCACAGTTACTCATGGCCCAAAGTGACACCTTTACAATGCTTGTTGTGTCGAAACCTCAACTTTATTAACAAACATTCAAATGAAAAGCAGCAAATCTTCACATGTGACAGCCAGCAGATGTTTTTACATGAAAAATGATTATCAGAATAGTTGGACAATAGTTCACCACAATCCACACAGCAGCATGAGTCCACTTCAGTCCAGATTATCTGTATCGTAGAACATTTCACAGTCAGAGTTCCTGAGCAGCTCTCAGAGAAGACGATGAAAAATGTCCTCATGCAGGAAAACAGAGCTGCAGTGAATCCAAACAGGATCTTTTCCCCTCTGATGCAGGTCAGTGAGTGAACAACAGGGACGGAGTGTGGTGTCCGAACGATAATGCTGCGATGATGTGTTGAGAAGAAATCCGCTTGACACTGTTCTTGATTATCAAAGTTTATTACATCAAAGAATTCAGCATCAATTACAAGCTCTGCAGCAGCTTGGAGAGTGACCCAGCCCGATGACCACTCTGTCTCTCTGTACATCGAACACAGCTTATATAGGACATGTTTAGGTCTCTGCTAAAAACCATATAAGGGCACAGTGCTGTAAAATAAGTGTAACCATCTATTAGACACCACAGAAGGGTACAGTCCCTTCATACACACTAATCTCTTTATACCTAATTTCTACTTCCCCTAACACTGCACCCATCAATCATTACTTCCCCATAAGGGTTCACTGTCCCTCTCACCAGCTGCAGAGCATTATGTTAAACTGTAATGGCCGGATACACGTAATGGCCAGATGCACATATGTTATACACCACATATTCCCCCCTACGAGACTTAATTGAGTCTCGAAAAACAAAAAGAGATAAATTTCTCCAACACACACTTCTAGCATATTATTTTTAACAACATATCAACTTTATGGAGTGTGAGAACGAAAAACCTGTCCGGCAGCCTTCATTCCAAATTCCCTCCAAGACAATCGAGACAGGAACATTTTCTCACGGCCCCTCTGCCTTAGGCGGCCACGCATGGTACTCCAGTCCAATTAATGAACGACATCTTTATCAGTCAATGCAGAAATACGGTTTAGCCAATACATGTGAAAACCTCAGGAAATTAAACAAATCAAAACCATGTCCGAATTCAGGCTGGTCAACCCATCGGACCCTCCAACAGACCTTTCCCTACCTAGACCCTATATCCCTAAGCATCAAGAAAAAGAAAAAAAAAACTGAGGTCCCCAAATATTAACTCCCTAAGTGAAAGTACAAGTCTTTACACAGTTAACACACAAAGAATATAATTGTTAATTAAGTATTATTCATTTGCATATGTATTCATATCTATATCAAAGTAGACATAGGAAGGTATTCCACTGCAGCTCCTCAGCAGTGTCGATGCAATCCAGACGTTTCCACACCGTCCTTGTCCAGAGTCCATCCACACTGTCCTTGTTTGAGTATTTGAATCCCCCTCTGTACATCCCCATATACTCTGGAAGAAAAGAAAACACCAACCAGTATCTTGTTGCAAAATAACACATGAAAATTAAAACCTCATCATTTTCTTGCATTCTTTGCTCCCCAATCTTCATCTGTAACGCAGGCTTCTGAGTTACGTCTGCCAACTCCTTTACTTCCCGAAAGATTGTAGTCGGTGTCTGTGTCATATTTACAATGGTTGTTATCGCCTCTGTAACATTCATTTCTTCCACAACTTCTGCTAAAACAATCACATTAGCTGATGTATTAACTCTTTCAGTTGTTTCCAAGGGCCCAATGACAACTGTTCTCTGTGTATTATTCACTCTTGGAGTGACTACTGTAGGATACTGCTCCTGAACTCCTTTGGTGACTGTTGTCACTTCACCAGGCTCTAAATCTTTCATCATAAGCGTCACCTTACGGGTCACATAACCTTGTATCCAATAATTTTGAAACGGAACAAATTTAAAATCTGGCTTTAAATACGTACAACTATATTCCCCTAAGTCTTCCCGGGTAGCATTACGCAAAACAAGTGAACAGTCACCAACAATTTTCCACCGCCTCATATCATTAAGCAGAGAAAACTTTCTTTGACTAGGGGGTACACCCTCCAGTCCTGATAACAACACATCTTTACCGCGACTATTTAACCACTTGGGAGGTACATTACCACCCGTATTCCATTTCTCACATTTACAGGGAAGATATGCCGAACCTCCAAACTTAACCTTAACCACCGTAGACAATGAAGTTGGCGTTGATGAAATCATCTGAGGCGCTACTGTAGTCAAATGTGTTACATTTATACATTTAGAAACTGTTGTTGACTTTCCTAGAGGTGCTTCAATTCTAGTTTTCATATCGTTTTGGTCTGCCTCTTTTCCGAACTGGTCTGGGGCTGTTGTGTCTAAGTGGAACACTGGCTTCTCCTGTAACAGAGGTGCAGCCCTTGGTGACCTCTGCGACTTCCCCTTCCACTGAAATAGGCCCTGCTGATTCTGGGACATATTGAAAACCAATATCCCCAAATCTCCTTTCCTCTCCATCAATTGCAGAGTCATATCTGGCATCATCAAAAGTGTGCACATGATTACCAACATTGTCCACTGAATGGACAATATCCCCTTCTGGGTTTTGGTTCTGGATATTGTCATGCATCTCTCCTTCTGCCTGTTCTTCCCTATTGTCATCCAGCTCTCTTGAGCCTTCACCATCTTGGCTATCCACCCGCGGCACCTCTTCACTAGGCGCTTTAACACAATGTGATAAATGATGCCACATTGGAGACCCTCTAACCTGGACAGCTGTTCCAGTACTACGAACCACTTCAAATGGTCCCTCACGGCGTTCGTTATACCACTTCCTCCTAAAGACCTTCACGAACACCTTGTCCCCAGGTTGCACTGTGCTCCTTTTTTGCTCATCGAGCTTCTCCTGCACCTCTTCTTTCCTTTGCCTGTCAGAAACATATGTGGACAACTTTTTATGGAAATTGGCCATGTACGTGACATACGCTCTCATTTCATCTTCCAAAAGAGCCAAACTTGGACCCTTGCCACTTGTTCGTAAACAAGGCGTAGGCATCCGTCTTCCTGTGACCAATTCATGGGGCGTTATACGTAAATCACGCAGCTCACTTGAGCGACACACCATTAACGCCAAAGGGAGCGCCGCTATCCAGTTTAGACCCGTATGTTGGCAAATCTTGACAATACGGTTTTTCAAAACCCCATTCATTTTTTCACACACCCCTTGACTTTGTGGGTGATAAACTGCTCCAAGACGTTGCTTGATTCCCAATTTTTGCAAAATCAATTTCACTGTTTTATCCACAAACTCTTTCCCATTATCTGATGATATTCGATCTGGAAGTCCCCACCTGCTTATGACTTCTCTACACAAAAACTTGGCAACCGACTGAGCGTCTTTCCGCTTGGTTGGACAGGCCTCCGGCCATCGTGAAAATCTATCCACAACCACTAGCATGTATCTTTTCCCTTCAACTGGTTTTATCATATCGACAAAGTCAACAACTAACTCACGCATAGGACCCCTTGGGGTGGGAATGTAACCAGGAGGAACAGACATACCCCTGCGGACATTATTTTTCAGACAGATTGTACACCTGCCTATGACATAATCAATCTGTTCAAGCAAATATGGTGCCCAAAAACCATACTCCTTTGTGATTTTTCTCCTAACCTCCCCCCTGGCAACATGAGCTAACCCATGTGCTTCCTGAATCATCAAACCTAACAGGTCCAGAGGTGCTACTATCAGTCCCTCGTGATTTCTCCAAAGACCCGTAGAATCCTTAACAGCACCTCGGTCCAGCCACAACTGTTTATCAATCATAGAAGCAGCTTCCTGCATCAAAATCACTTCCTTAAGCGTAATTCTGTCTTCCAAGTCCACCCCATGAGTGACCAGAAAAACCTTGCCCAATTTGTCAGCTCCTGTGACAGCTTTTGCAGCTTCATCAGCAGCTTTGTTCCCTGTGTCACTCTTGACGCATCTGTTTTATGAGCTGCACACTTAGCTATCGCTATCTCTTTAGGCTCATCATAGCATGCAACAGTTTTATTATTTGTGCGTGATGTTGTATTGGAGAACCATCCGTTCTCTTAAACCCCCGACCTTTCCACACTGCTCCAAACAAATGACATACATTATGTGCATATGCCGAATCAGTATATATTGTCACTCGCTGCCCGTCAGCTAACAAACACGCTTCTGTTAGCCCCACAAGTTCTGCAAGCTGTGCAGACGCAGGCTGTGGTATTACTTCAGCTTTTTCAACAACAAATCCCGTTCCTTGAGCTTTTACTACTGCATAGCCAGCACACAATTTCTCTCCCACACGATAACAAGACCCATCAGTCCAATACTCCAGGTCTGCCTCACGTAGTGGAAGGGCTTGCAAGTCTGATCTAAGCCTTGAGTATTTCTCTGCCTCTTGAACACAATCATGTGGCTCACCATCCTCTGACGTTGGCAAATTCTCAGCTGGATTTACCGTATCACACCTTACCAGGGTGACATCCTCCTGCTCTAAGAGCCTATGATAGTCTCTAAGCCTTGGCATAGTCAATGTGTATTTTCCATAGTTCAGGAGATTCCTGAGACTATGATGGGTAAGAATTGTCACTGGGTAACCCATCGTAACGGATGATGCTTTGTCATACATTAAATAAACTCCAACCATTGCTCTGTAGCACAGTGGTAGCCCTAATTCCACTTCTGAATATGCAGTCGAATAATAGGAAATAGGTTGAGGATTCGACCCTGTACCTGTCGGCTGACAAAGGACTGCACATGCATATTTACCTCCAGTGGAACTAGACACATACAACAAGAAATTCTTAGAGTAATCTGGTAGTGTGAGCGCTGGCGCCTCCTGTAACCTCTGTTTGATTGTTTCAAATGCCACAAGGCCTTCCTGTGTCCAGGACAGATTGCTGTGAAGTTGAGCGTTCCCAGTATCCTTAACCATAGCTCTCAAAGGTCCCGTCAAACTAGAATAATCCTCAACCCATGCTGAAGAATAACCAGCAATACCAAGAAACGTCAACATCTCTCTGACAGTTCTAGGCTTTGGAGCCTTGCGAATAGCCTCCAATTGACAATCAGAAATGCTTCTGTGTCCATGCGTTATTGTCTGACCCAAATATACAACCTTCTCCTGGCAATATTGCAACTTCTTTTGTGAGGCCTTATGCCCCTTTTCTGCCAATATTTGTAGCAATTTAATTGAGTCTTTGTGACATGTTTCTTCATCTTGTGAACAGATCATAATATCGTCGACATATTGAATCACAGT